CAAGAGTGATTGACTTCACATGTGAAAGATATGATATCTTTTCATGGTTCAAGATGTTGCATTTTTACAACTACTGACCTRGTATCTCATGGATATGTAAATAAATAATTGTATTATATTTATTGGCTTCACTAACTTGAAAATCTTCAAACAGTTATACAATAACATCATAAATAGCCCAACAGATATGAATGAGAGAATTATCTTATATTATTTTATAGAAAAGATTTTATTACCATGATTGTACTACCGATAAAGCAGCATCCAAAATTTCTATTTCTCGAAGTAAGCTTAATTCTTTTTCTTTACTTTTCTCTCTTAGATTTGGAATTATATTCCCATAACCTTAAGAAAACAATAGAAAAACGTACAGATCGGCTGACAAAAAAAATAGTTCAAACCACAGTAAAAACAGATGATATTTTCACAAATTTGACTCTTCACCATCAAGAACAAGAAATTCCGCACCAAAGAGCTCAAGAAGTTGAGGAACTTGCTCGTAAAACTCTTCATGGAAGAAAAGGGTTTCTACACCAAGAAAGAGCTCACAAAGTCAATCAGGGTGCTCGTAAAACTGTGACAGAAATAAAGCAATGCCTTGAGATTTTTGTAGACGAAAACAAAGAAAACAATCCAAAGTCAATTTTGGTTTCCGGTGAACCGGGTATCGGAAAAACGCTATTTTCGCAGAAAATTGTTAGAGATTGGTCAACYMAKARYTTATTGATACCYGAYATCAAGTTCACMTACCTMWTAACATTCAGACAGCTTACTCGGCTTGCCAACAAAGAGCTCACTCTCAGAGGACTGCTGAATCACTCCCTTTTACTCAACGAAAATACCATGATAACCGAAGAAATAATGGCGTACATTGTCCAGCACCCAGAACAACTGTTTATTGTCTTCGATGGCTTTGATGAATACGGCAAAGATGACCGCAACAAAATAGTCGGAGACTTTGAAGACGAATTTCCACTAATTAATGCCAAAATGCCAGTAGCTGCCCTGGTCAGCAAACTAATCAGAAAAAAGATCTTGAGCGATTCTGTCACCATGATAACCTCCAGACCAAGCGAAGCCAGCTTGTTGAACCAAAAAATCCATTTTCAGCGCTATGTTGAAATTACAGGATTCTCAGAGACACAGGTCGTTAAATACGTTGAGAACTATTTTAAATCTAAACCAGAAGAAGTAAAAAAGATGGCAGTCGACAAAGTCAAAGGATCACCACACCACATATCATTTGGTCGCGCGCCTTTCCGATGTTTCTTGATGTGCATCTTCATCGAGTGTGAAATCAAAAACAAAGGCGATATCTCAGTTCCTGCAACTCTTACCGAGTTTTATGACCAAGTTATTAAATGTATAGAACTAAATTATAATAGAGAAATACTTAAGCTTCATTCAGATGAGAAAGCCGCGTCAGAGGCTGTTGACAAAACCATCGATAATTTTGCTGAATTAGCGGCAAAC